ACATACGACATCAAACCAAACTCTAGAACTTAAGAGACTACAAAATAAATAGGAACAGTAGTGGATAATCTCTGCAAGCCAGCTCACCTTCCTCACACACCAGCTTTATTCTGGAATGTATTCAGAAAGGATCTTTCGAGCAAGATTGTTATTAACCTCTATTTAGCCTTGAAAAGATCTCACTTGAATATTGTCTTTTCAACATAACATTCATAAAAAAAACTTTATAGTTTAGAGCAAATAAAGCTACTTTGAAACAGGCTCTATCTTTTAAACTCATGAATGCCTATGAAACCTACAGATGAGTGTCTCCAGGAAAAAAAAAGGATAAGGGGAAAGAGGCATGAGCCCAAGCACATTCATAAAAATTGTATTTGAACATAAGTTTTACTTTTAAATTAAATAGTAATTAACTTTTCCACAACAGAAAGAAAAGCTTGAACCAGCTCCAACGGACTTTGTTGTCAGTCCTTCCAGGCTGAGATACACTCTACATACAATGGAGTTTTGTATACTCCTATCATTACAAGCAGCACAACAACAGATTGTTAAAAAGTAACCTTCCCTCCAGGATTCACCTACATCAGGGAAAGTATTGTTTCCCTTTCACAGACAGGTCAAGACAAGACCACTGGGGGTCACCAGCCTCTTTGCTCAAGCAGGATCCCCTAGAGCATGGTAGCCAGAATTTTGTCCACTCTGCTTTTGAGTTCTCTACGGAAGGAAACTCCACAACTGCTCAGGGCAGCCTGCTCCAGTGCTCAATTAGCAGAGAATTTCTTCCTCATATTCGGGTGGATGTTTCTATGTTCCAGTTTCTTCCCATTACTCAGCATTACTAAGAAGAACTTGGCTCCATCCTTGTGACGTCCACCCATCAGATATTTATACATATTGATGTGATCTTCTCTCAGTCTTCTCTTCTCCAGACTGAGTAGGCTCGGTCCCATCTGGGATGCTCCAATCCCCATCTACGCTGCCCTCAGCTGGACATACTCCAGGAGCTACATGCCTCTCTTGTCCTGAGGAAAAGAGGCATGAGCCCAAGCACATTCATAAAAATTGTATTTGAACATAAGTTTTACTTTTAAATTAAATAGTAATTAACTTTTCCACAACAGAAAGAAAAGCTTGAACCAGCTCCAACGGACTTTGTTGTCAGTCCTTCCAGGCTGAGATACACTCTACATACAATGGAGTTTTGTATACTCCTATCATTACAAGCAGCACAACAACAGATTGTTAAAAAGTAACCTTCCCTCCAGGATTCACCTACATCAGGGAAAGTATTGTTCCCCTTTAACAGACAGGTCAAGACAAGACCACTGGGGGTCACCAGCCTCTTTGCTCAACCAGGATCCCCTAGAGCATGGTAGCCAGAATTTTGTCTACACTGCTTTTGAGCTCTCTAGGGAAGGAAACTCCACAACTGCTCAGGGCAGCCTGCTCCAGTGCTCAATTAGTAGAGAATGTCTTCCTCATATTCGGGTGGATGTTTCTATGTTCCAGTTTCTTCCCATTACTCAGCATTACTAAGAAGAACTTGGCTCCACCCATCAGATATTTATACATATTGATGTGATCTTCTCTCAGTCTTCTCTTCTCCAGACTGAGTAGGCTCGGTCCCATCTGGGATGCTCCAATCCCCATCTACGCTGCCCTCAGCTGGACATACTCCAGGAGCTACATGCCTCTCTTGTCCTGAGGAACCCAACTGGACACACTAAGTTTTAGACAGTTCCTCTCTGCCCACCTCTACAACCTGTTGAAGTCTTTCTGAAGGACTGCACAGCTCTCTTGGGTACTGGCCACTCCTTCCAGCTTTGCATTGTCTTGCAACTTGCTGAGGAGGCATCTGCCTTTTCATCCACGTCACTGATGAACAAGTTAAACAATACTGGACCGGTACTGAACCCTTGGAGACTCCACTAGAGACAAGCCTCAAATGAGATCCTGTGCCACTGATTACAGCCCTGGGGGATCTGCAGTTCAAGCTCAGGAAATTTGGGCTGGATGAGTGGTCAGTGAGGTTGCAGTGAGAACTGGCACTCATCCAGCCCATACTTCCTGAGCTTGCGTACGAGAATAACACCAGAGAGAGTATCAAAATCCTTGCTGAAAGTCCAGGCAAACATCCACTGCTTTTTCCCCCCTCATCCACCCAGGTAGATTCCTCAACATGGAGGGCAATCAGGTTGGTTAAGCATGCTGACTACTCTTCATCATCTTTGTGTCCACCACAGGTGGCCTCCAGGATGAAAGGGATTAAGATGAGACTGATTGGCCTGTAGCTCCCTGGGATGTCCTTCTTGCCCCCTTTGAAGACCAGGGTGGTACTTGCTTTCCTCTAGTGTTGCAGCGCCTCTCCTGACTGCCACGACCTTTCAAAGATCTGAGAGCAATCATGTCTACTAGTTCCTTCAGCGTTCATAGGTGTGAAGGAACCCATGAGAGCCCATGGACTTGTGGATGGCAAGTTGACTTCTTTATGATTTCCCTGGGCACATGAAAGAACATTTTTATGCAGAAGCCTGAGCACAAAGACATCTTCTTGGAATGTTCTAGCTTCAGCTGTTTTTCACAGGCCACCCAGACTAAAGCAGCTGGATTCTGCTAAGAACCAGCTGAAATACTAAAATATCATCTTTTCTGCTATTTCTGTTGCAGTGAGTGCAATTGTCCCTGGCAGCCAAGTGGTAGCAAACACAGAAATAGCAGCCCTAAATGTTACAGCAGGGGTTTCAAGGTGGTGATGGTGAGGTTGCTGTAAACAACTGCAGCTCCCTGGTGGTAATGACCTCCTTTTGGTAGAAGTGTCCCTGCAAGACTACCACTGATACATCAGTTTCTAAACATACTTATTATGTTGGTATCATTCTTCAAATAAGCAATCCTTAGTTCCACAATATCATATCTAGCTAGTCAAAGACATACCTCTTTTTGTAGTGGTACCTTATCTAGTTTGAAAATTTTACATGCTATTTTACCGTTAATGGCCACATCCCAACCATTAATTCAAGTTAAAGACCCTGATATTTTCCTCCTTTTATTATGTTAGATAAATTAATAGGGGGAAAACAAATTTATCCTACAGCATGTGACTCTTCATCATGTTCACATATTCATTATGAACAAAGCTTCAGCTACTTAAGTCTCATATAGGGAAGCCTTACTGACCCAATTAAGTTTTTCATATCAGGTGAACATGCCTCCCTTGACAAAAATGCTCTCATGTTTCCCATCCCCTCTGGATAGATTACAATGAGATTCGATGGTACTTCATCAAAACACAAAAATAAAAAGCCTCCACACTGACACTAGCAACAGGCATGCTCACGCTCTCGTAAAATGAAATCGGCTGCTGCAACCTTCCCAAAATAAACATAATCATTAACTAAATATAGATGCATCTATTTCAGAGTCAAGAGAACCTTTTTTCTTTTTGCCTAAAAGATTAGCTTTTTATTTATTTTTCTTCTCTGTATGCTTTCCAACAAAAAGAAAGGGTTGACCTGGTTTAGAATGGCTTGAGTATTGCTGAATCCAGTAAACAGTTGCGCTGTTTTGAAAGAAAGCTTCCCCTCCATTATTTAATGTTTGTTTTCTCTTCTACAGAGAGAAAAGGCAAACAGTCCTCAGATTTACACTGGGGAATGGAGGAGGAAAAACAAACCACAAACACAAATGACTGCCTAATGAGAGTTTTAGTATTAAGGAAAAAAAAAGAAAAAGCATCTCTTTACCCCTTTCATTTCCATTAGCATAATGTTCCAAGAATGTTAACTAAATTATCTCTTAGACACCAGTTTGCAGCTTAAGACAAAGCTAAAACCAAAGCTATAAATTACAAGTGGATCAAAAGATTTACATAATGACATAAGTTATTTCGTATATTAAGATTTGAATGATTCAATTTCTTTGATTTTGTTCCCAAGTAAATATTTTTCACTGACAATGGAGAACTGAAAATATAGCCTTTTAAACTTTTTACTTTACTGATACTTTGTGCTGTCCAGTTAGCACTGATTCTTACCTTTCAGAATTTTGGTAATTTACATTAAAAAAAGATTAAGCCAATTAAGCTGGAAAATAACAGGAACAGTAGTAATTAACACTGTATTGCCAGCATCTTAAATTGGTGATTTGAACAATAAAAAGGGCTCCAAGCTAAACACCATGTAAACAATTTCTGTTACTTTAAGACCACAAGGTGCATTTGGCGCCACCAGCACTGCTTCAGGTCTTTAACTACACCACCAGACCACAATACAGGAACCCCACACCTGAGCTTCTGTAGAGATACTGATTTTACTCAGGTTCCTATGAAGATTCTTATTCCACTGCACAAAGTCAAATTTTACTTTCAGAATAGCAAATACCCGCCCATGTGACATGCTCTTAAAAAGATGTAACTACCTGTAACACCACACACAGCGGTCTGGCTGTATTTTTTTTTATCTCTACATCCCGCGTTCAAGAAATAAACCAAACCCCCAGCGAGGTGGGCCCATTATTTTAATAGTACTTAGGCGGCTGTTACATGAACAAGTAAGTATAGCTTGTACAAAAAACATGACAGCTCTGCAGCCCCTACTGCAAATCATGTAAACCACCTAAAGCATTTAAAAAAAAAAAAAAAAAAAAAAAAAAAAAAAAAAAAAAAAAAAAAAAAAAAAAAAAAACCCCAAAAAAAAAACCCCAAAAAAAAAAAAACCCAAACCAAACCCACCCAAAACAAAAAAAAAAAACACCTCAAACAACATCAAAAAAAAAACCACCAAAAAACAAAAGCAAAAAAAAAACCACCAAAATAACCCACCCAAAACAAACACCTCAAACAACATCAACAAAAAAAAATTAAAAAACCCGCCACTAGGATACGGAATTGAAAAGCGTCCTTCCAAACCAACTTTAAAAAATCTATTCAAACGGAAGCAAGCAAGACAGAACAAACACGACTGCACTATCTTCCCTCCCAATCCTGCAGAAGAGAGGCCCACCGCGGTTCCTCCCCCGGCCCGTTCCACCCGCCGCTGCCGAGCAGCCCTGCACCGCGAGGGGCTGCGGGCAGCCTCGGCGCCGCTGCGGAGCCGCAGCCTGCCCCACAGGCCGGCTCCGCTGGAATGCTCTCAGCGGCCCGCTGCCACCCACGACAGCGCCCGCTGCTGCCGCAGAGAGGGGACGGGCTCTAAGTTTTCCCCACCACGTGTTTTTTTTTTAAGGGGAGGGAGGCAGCCGCCCTGGGCACACACAAACACAGACACACACACACACACGCTCACTCCCAACAGCCAGACACACAGCTGATCCCAGGCCCGTCAGGCTGGCTCCTCCCCGCCCCTCCAGCGGGGCAGAGGCACAGCGCAGTTCCAGCACCTTCTCCACCTCTTCCCCAAACTACTCCCGCGAGTGCCGCCCGCGCCCTGCAGCCGCCTTCCCAGGGAAGGAGGTCCTGCCGCTCTCTCCGCGCCGCAGAGGCGAGCTGGGAGGGGCGCGGGGGCGCGAGCCGCCACCGCCGCGCGGCCAGCGCGGGAGCGCAGCGCGCGCCCTGCGCACGGCGCCGCGGAGCGCAGCGCACCCCGCCCCGCGCGCCTGCACACCTCCACCCCCCCCGGCCTCCCGAATGAGCGACAGCTCCGCAGGCCAATAGAACCGCCTCTTCTACGCAAGGGGGCGGGCACTCCCTGCCCGGCTGACCAATAGCAACACCGCTGCCTGAGCAGTGGCGTCCGTGAAGGGGGGGCCGGAGGAGGGGCAGGAGTTTAGGAAGAGGAGGGAATGGCTGTCATCAATGAAGTCATGTTCGTAATCTAGTCCTTCGCTCCGGTTCTGTACTCGGATGACTCACTGAGGGGGGAGAGGAGCGACAGTCAGCACGGCGCTCCGCCCGGGCGGAAGGTAAATACAACTTGCAACTCGGTCCAACCGTGTCAGCTCCCCGTGCCCGGCAGCGTCCTTTATTGTCACCGGCTGTGCCGGCCCGCGCCGTGCCCACCTTCCCTCTCCCCGTCGCTCCCCTTCCCCAGGTACGGCCCCGTCGGTCCCAGCCGCTGCCGTGCCACCTGCTTCCTCTCCCCACCTTTCCCGGCGCCCGGCCCTCCCGAATATTTATATCCCCCAGTGGGTGGAGAGAAGAAAGTTTTGATCTGGTATTATTCTGGAATAATCACGATGCGGATCGCCGGAGTGGCAGCGACAGAACCCCCACGGAGTCGCCGGTGGCTGACTCGTGAGTCAGCGGCACTCTGGGTCTTGCCGCCCAGTGAGCGTGTCACGGGCTGCGGGCGAAGCGGCCCCGGGAGAAATGGATCTTTGGGGAGCGACAGCACACACGGACGGGCCGGGGGAGGCTCCGCTGCAGCTGCCGAGGGTCGCAGGGTGAAGTTCAGGGTGTCCGGAGGCAGCAGAGCGCGGTGCGGCGGGGCTGTTTCTCGGCCGTGGCACACGCTGGCGCAGACCCAGCCGAGCAAGGGGAAGTGGGGAGGCATGGGGAGGGAGGAACATGGTGCATGGGGGAGCGGTCTCGCCTGCGAGCAGAGTAGCGGCATTCCCCGGCACAGCCAGGGAGGCCATGATCCGGATAGTCGCTGCGTGCCTGTCACAAACATTGCACACACCGGGGAGGGGGAAGAAGCGGGGGCTGGGACTTTAGCCCAACAGGGCTGCGGCTCCTGTTGCTTTTCGGTCTCTTGTTTTTAACTGTGCAGTCACTCCTGCTGTAAAGGTGTCGCGGTTTACTTCCCAAAATAGCTTGCATGTCGTCTTACCCCTCCCGTTTTCCCTGCAGAAATTCGCCCCCCTCCTCCTCCCCACCTCCAAGCAGAGTAGCACAAAACATGCGCTTACAATTTTGGAATCGCCTGCCAAGCAAAAAAGCGTTTTATTTCCGGTGTGCGCGGAAATTTATTTTTTTTAACCCGGCCGGGCGGGAGCGAGGATGCAGACGCGCGCGGATGCTCAGGTAGCTGCGGCTCGCCTGCCCCTATGTCGGGAGAGGGGACGGCGGTGTTTTGGCACCTGGAAAAGTTCTGTGCCCAGCCGGAGGCGGGGGTGGGCGGCAGCGCGCTTGCTGCAGCCAGCTGCCGGGCGGGGCCGGAGGGCAGCGGAGCCCGTCCCCGGACCGCTGCGGGGCAGCGGCGGGAGGCAGCGGCGGCAGCGGCGGCGGGGGGGGGAGGATAGGAGGGTGGGTGGCCTTTCTCGTCCCTCCGCCTGTGCAAGCGGCGGCGGATCAGGAAGTCACCGCCGCCACACACAGGCGCACAGACATGTTTGGTCGGCGTGACATGGTGGCGGAGGGAAGCAGAGGCGGGGAGACGGGCCCAGCCCAGCCCTGAGGCATGACCCGGCTGCTCGCCCGGCCGCCCGCCTGCCTGCGGCCGAGGTACGGGGCCGTGCGCGGGCAGCGCCGTCAGCAGCGCACCCGCTGCTTCACGGAGGGGCGAGGGCAGGCAGCAGCGGGGCCGCATTTCCAGGCAGGGACGTTTTACAGCCTGTCGGCTGGGGAGAAAACTTTCCAGAAAGGCCGGAGGCGGGGGAAACAGGGCCCTGTTGGTTGTGCGCGCCCGCCCCGGCGCCTTGGCGGGGGAGGCGGCGGGCGGCCCGGCGCCGAGGCCTGCGCGCCGCCCGTCCTGCAGGGCCCGAGCACCCGAGGGCAGAGCAGCGCGGCTGCCGCGGAGGGAGGGAGCGGCCGCCCTGCTCCGCCACCCCCCCGAGCACCCCGGTCGCCCGCCGTGGCTCTTCCTTGTGTTCACGGTGCAGAAATGGAGTTTCTTACGTTGTCTCCTCCCCTCTTAAATTTATAATGGTGGAACTACAAACTGCGCACGGCTGGAAAAGTTACAGCTCTTCTAAACTCGACCTGAAGTTACAGTTTAACGATTGGCTTGGGTCGTTTTTTGTTTTGTTTTTTTTTTTTTTTTTTCCTTGAGCGTGCGTTATGGTCAAGTAAATGGAGTGTAAAAGTGTCTGCAGATTACATACATCGTACCGAATTTGTTTTTTCTTGATGTCCAATTCATATGTTTGATATTCGGACTTGACGAATGTTAGGCTAATGCTGTTCTTTTTAGGATGTATTTTTATGAATATTTATGTGACTATGAAAATGTAAGTAAAAAAACAGCTGAATAATTGAAGATAAAAAGTTGTTGGGTTTTTTTTCGTTTTTTTTTTGTTTGGTAGCGGTTTTTTCCGCTGTAAGTGTTCTGCATGAAGAATTGATCTGGAGTCTGCCACACGGCGTTGTTCCGTTTGCATTCTCTCCTGTTTTGCTTTAACTTTTTGAAGTGTTAAGTGGTTTTAAACACAGACCCTAAGACCCAAACGATAAACACTGTACCAGAATTTAATTCCTTTGGTAGTGTACCAGTTACTTGTTCGGGGTGGGGCAGTCTCCTCTGTGCAACTTACTATTGTTGTGCAAATACGGGCACACTTTCCCTTTGGGAACCTAATTGCCCTATTACTGTCTCTGACTTTGTTTCTTTTGTCCTTTTGTGACTCTAAGGAAAAAAAGTAGTGTGTTAGAAGGATAGGCTTGCCTCAAGGCACGTTTTTATGTCTGTATATATATCAGTAATGGAAAGCAAAAACACTATATGAATAGTGAGCTTTTAAAATTTAAAGTGGATCATACAGCATATGTAGACTTGCGAGAGGTGAGAGTATATCTTCATTAAAAACATTATTTCTCTCATGAGTTATTTCTCAGCTTTAAGACTGATATTTCTGTGGTATTGCGTGCGCCAAAAGAGTTTGTTCAAAGCAATCTTAGATAGTTTGTTCATTTCTGAAGTAGTCTATGAACGTTTCTTGTCAAGCTTGAAAAGTGCTTTCAACAACACCTGAGGCTTGAAAATTTACGGGAGAAAAGGTCCTTCAGCTCGCATACCTATATTACATATATTCGTGACAAAGGCGTGTTTGAAATTACTATCTCCATATATATTTTTCTCAGTTTTTGTGGACCTTTGAAGTTAAGGTCAAAATATGCGCAGTAGCAACTTAACAAATGTCTACACTTTGCCTCTGTTTTTTGTCCAGATGAGTAATATTGCTGTGAACTACAAGTGATTCTTTTCAGAAGGAAACTCCTCATTCTTTGTATGATTTAGAATATTTTTGCAAATTACTCATCAAAATGTCTGTTACATTTCTGTGTGTTTCCTGCTTCTGTCAGAATTATCTGTGTGTAATAGGTGTTTCCTGGACCTCCATCACTTTTGGACTTCATCAGATTAGGTTGGGGTTTTTTTTTTTTTATTCTCTACTGGAATAGTAAACACAACATTCTGGCATAAAAATCACTTGTCATAAAATTGGCATTAGAGAAAAGCTCATGTCTTATTTCCAAGATAAAATAGAGAAGTCTGAGTAAGGGAAGGAAGTAAAGCTTTCTTAAACACGGCTTTGATGATTTGTTAATACAGTAGAATGGGAAGACTAACACTGAAAATTGTTTTCTTTGTTTCTGACTTGTACAAAATCATTATTTATTAGGCATTAATGTTTTCCTGTTTGTCTCAGTTGGTAGAGAATATTTCCTATTTATCACTTCTGAGTTTGAACACCTAGGTGGATCACTTAGGCGCAGGACATTGGAGAAAATGTTAAAATGATGTTTGTTTTTACAGAAAATATATATTTTAAATACTGGTAGCTTGTATTTAAAACAATTTTCTCCCTTCTTCCTCCTCTTGTTCCCTGTTTAAGTAAAACCAAGGCCTGTCAATAATACGGTGCATTCCTTTCCTTCTGCCTGCATCTCTTATGGCTTTTTATTTAGAAACAAATGAGAAGACAGTGTTCAATAACTGGAGCTAATACCTGTAGTAAAGCTTACAGCATGAAAACTGAATCCATGACCATTCGCTAGTGTCCCGTATCAGCTTTCTGTGCCTGAAATTTACAGTGGAATCTACATACGTTGTAAACATGGGATTGATTTTGGACATGGTCTGATGGCAGTTAAACTTTTGGCTGTAGCTATCTGCTCTCTTCTTTTCCTGAAGGCTACTGTCCTCTGCAGCAAATCTATCAAGAAGGATCATATGTCTATGCTGTAGTGTCTTCACAGTAAAGCCTGGCAGCGTAGCTTAGCCTAACTTGTGTGCACTCCGATTTGTGGTTATGCCTTTTGACAGTCTGGAGTACTTTCAGCTCCCAGCTGTTAAGAAGTTATTTTTTGCTGCTGATGTTAGTTTCTCCTGAGAGGGTGGGCTGTAAGCTAGAGCAGCTGAGAAAAGTTGAACTCTGTGTAAAGCTGTAATATCTACGCAGTAGGAGTATGCATTTCTACAAAAATATTTCAAGGTGAGGAGTACTGAGTATTATGCTAAAGTAAACTGTCCCTTGTACTACATGACTCCACAATGAAGTTTCTGGTGTAAGCATTCCGCCTATTTTGCGAGTTCTGTGGGGGTACCTGCAGCAGTTTCTGGCAGAGATCTAGACATGCAGCTAAAGGAGTGTTGCAGAGGTTTTTTCCTTCTGGCCTAGGTGTCTGGATAAGTAATTAAAGTTCAGCATTTCTGGTTCTGTGGTTTGTGTTTTAAACTACAGATTGCCTTGCAGAAGGTTT